CGATTTAATTTTTTACATGGAAACGGTTGCGGGAATTTTTGAGCAAATTCCAGTATATTTTCTGCATAGCACGAAGCATATCCCTCAAAATTTTCAAAGGAATCCGCACAAGTGTTCTCCTGTAAAAAATTCGATCGCCCAGTTAAATTTGGCGATAGCTGATGTGGCTTGGTTCCTTTTTGCTAGACGCGGTCCACTTCACGCTGTGAGAGCGGGAATTTGAAAGGAGGCTTTGCAACGTCGCAAATTGAGACACAAGTTTCTTTGGGTTCACCATTTCCTGTTAAGATAAAACTGTTCGCGATGCCGTAAATTTTGGTTAAGTGACGAAAGCTCCTTGAAAAAAATTGCAGCCGGTGAAGCATTGCCATTCACAGATAATAAGGAAGCTCGCTTCGAGTGATTTTCGGCTGGAAAGATTCGAGCTGCGCCGCACTGCATGCGGAGAGTGCATGATGCTGCATGATCAAAAGGTGATAAAACACGCGTGAATTGCGAAGATCCTGCATCGGAAATTCGATTCGCTCGATGTTTGATTGATATGTGAATCTCAAAATCGATAAAATTTTTCCTTTACCGATGAGTGCTGGAAATGGCGGAGCTTTTAAAGCTTTCATAATGTAAATATTGAATCGAGTGCTGAAAGAAATGTATGAGAGCCGAGTTATCCAAAGACTTTTCCTTGTCTTACATATATTATGGAATCTGAAACTTATCAAATGGGTATACTTGTAGAATTAGACACCGTAGAAGTACGGTGCATGGATGTGGTGATCCATTAATTTAGAAATGTGGGATTCCTTGGGAAGACCCTAATCTACATGAACTGCACTACATTTAACATTTTATGGGGGCCTTAAAAATAGCATTAATTATTAACAGAACGATTTTTGCGAGCCTCTAGTGGAATATCCTTGGCAAAAAATCTTGTGAGGGCTTACAATGATATGTCACTACAAACAATTCCAAACACAGAATAAAATAACCAATGAATTTGACACACTCTAAGGTTAGTTAGCGTATTTTGAAATTTTAAACAATCGCAATATATTTTCTTCTATTTGTTACATGTCTTGTGGTGGTAAATCATTTAAATCCGTCAATGGATTCATTTCTAAAGTTAAATTAGCAGATTTGACCGGAGGTTTACAAAAATTATCCTTTTTATGATGCTTGTTAAAGGCTATATGAATCACAATGTCAACCATACGATGCCTTTCTAAGGAAAAGAAGAGTTTGAAGGATGATATGACTTAAGATCCACCGGCTATGCAAGCTCCTTAAAACTTACCCTGGTAAAAATTGGCAGTAGAATCTGTGTTCCAAAATACCATAGACCTAAAGCCGGCTGTAAGATTTCCAAAAGCTTCTGTAGCCGGTTGTACAATTTCTTTTAGCCTTTTACAGCCGACGGCGACTAAGCAACAGCCAGACGATAAAGTTTATGCTAAACGTTACTTAATACGGATACTAGGACTTAGTTAGTTTTTGGACCACCGCTCTCTTTTTGTGCCGTAGTATCTTGATTTATTTTGCGAGGAATGCTCCGTACTTTTGAAGGATACCTGCCATTCCTAAAATGTTGGAGTGCCTTCAATTTCGTACGATACTGTGTAATACCTCTGGTGTGAGATAGTTGCTTCAAGCGCCGTGGCACGCTGCGGTGCGGCGCGGCGGGCGGGCAGCCAGCTCAAAACGCGCATTGGCGCCTACAAACCTAACAGGGATACTTCACGCATTGCGCAATGCGTGAAGTATCCCTGTTAGGTTTGTAGGCGCCAGTGCGTCGCCGCTCCGCTTTGTGTTAGGCTCAATATTTAATCTTGCGGAGTCAGCGTTTTTCAACTCATGATTTTCAAATGTTTGCACACTCTGTATGGATAATTTTCTTTATAATTGATGAAAAAAAAATATTTTTTAAAGGAAAATATAATGTGTGTTTTGTAAATATGAAGGTAGTTCCGTATCAAACTTAATGATTTCCAAAGCACACGAATTTCTACACAATTTCTTATGGCCTTTTATAGCCAATGGAGATAAAGTGTAAAGCCCGGCGATAGGAACTATAGCCCGACTGTATACTTTTTTATAGCTTCGTATAGCCCGGCTATATGATTTGCTCCGCTTTCTACAGCCAGCTATATGATTTTCAATAGCCTTCTTTAGTCGGCTATAAGAACTCCTATGGTATTTTGAAACGCAGCTCCTATCGCAAATTTTTACCAGGGTACTTTTTTGCCTAATGAGTTTAATTCAGAGTTCAAATTAAGGCGCAAATCCATGGAAAGGCTCCTGATAGATATCATAATCTAAATTATTAACATTATAGTGAATATTAGAGAGAAATTTAACGAGAAGTGCGACGGTGAAATAAGACCATCTCTGGAAGTTTACTGCAAAAGTACATCTAAGACAATCTGCAGAACTGAGCTTTTTTGGACCATATATTTTTACCTATTACTTGAGCATAGACCCCCGTTTTTTTCTTCGAGTATACCTTATGGAAAACCCCTCATGGAAAGTAACCTTGAATAACTTACCTTCGAAACCTGTGTAAAAACCATTGCTTAATTTGAGAAGATCACTGGTTTCGTTTACACTGTGAGCGTCATCCAGATGCCATTGATCATCGGAATTTCCGATTCATTTTCTCGCAACTGACTTAACTTGTGAGGTTTCCAAGTCAGAAAGGGAATTTCGGCAGGGGTTTATAAACTTCCTACATGGCTTGCATTTTGCAAAAAGGAGGCAAGAGCATTTGCATTTGTTGCTAGGATTGTGCAACATATATTCTTTGCAACAAAAGTGAAAAAATGAAAAAAAAATCGTTTTTACAGAATTTGCAGAACTAATTCTTGCAGATAGCATGGATATTTCCGGCTGGCAAAGCCAATCCAGCTTTAAATCATTGAGAGGTTCCAAATATCGATGGACAAAGTGCGAAACCACGGATGTAAGTTTTCGACGTTGTAAACTTCCTTTCATACTTTATATCGTCTAAGGAAAATTATTCAACGTAATTTCTTGACAATTCTTTGATTTTTCTTCTCTGCCGGCAGAATGTTCTGCATAAATTGCAGGCTATGAAGTTAGCTTATTTTTCTTCGAAAGCATAAAATTGGAACGGAAGTTTCGCAACACCGCGATGGAGTTACGTGGTTTCGCGCTGTATTTATCGATATACGGCATTACGTCGCTCCTCTGGCGTAAGAGCGTATCTCGATTTCCACATGAGCCCCAGAAAGCTTAGATTTACATGTAAAACAGGGCTCACGTCGAAATCGAGATACGCCCTCACATCAGTGGAGTGACGGTGAGTGGGGTTCCAAATGTACTTAGATAGTACTTCATGACGGGCTCCAGCGAGCTTATTGTTGAAAGTGGTAGACACACTGATAGACAAAGCAGACATAGGTAGTATGGAGTGATCCTATTGGTTGGACTGGGTGGCTCCTGTAGACTAAGGTAGTAAATGATGCACTACTTATCGGATCTCCCTTGGGTTGTCGTTAGTTAGTCTCTCACCTACCTCTTTTGTCCATTGCAACCACCTGCTTCTACCGATAGGATCCCTCCATATCCCTGTTGTCCTCTTTGTCTATCGCTTTGTCTATCAATTTTCACGATCAGCCCGCAGCAAAGAGCATTAGTTCTCATCCTCAGTGGCAATTTTGCAAGTTGGCACCGCTGTTTTTCCTCCAATTAAATCCATCATTAAAATCGATTTTAGATGAGGTAAGTTGCCTCACTAAGAATCGATTGTCTTATATACATACTTATCTAACTGACTAACGAACTAACATGTCGCTCTTACGGCGGTTCTGTGCGCTCTGCGACACCCAACCGCCACCGATAGCGATCCTGCCAGAGCTCCTCCGGCAAATCGCATCTCCTCATTCCCTGCCTCATTCCATCGATCCACGATTTGGCAGGGCTTGCTCTACATTTTCTGTCAGGAGGACCTAAGGGAAGCCCCCTACATTCAAGCGCAGGAAATACAGCGTTGCCAACTTTCAAGAAATGCCACCGCTCATCCCTGGTTCAGGTTGCTCGCTGTAAGCCCGAAGGACCCAGGGTCTTAACGGTCCGCCGCAGAGGCAGATCCAGCAATTTGGCAACACCGGATGTTCTGAATTTAAACCTATGCTAAATAATCGATTCTTTTCGGGGCATCTGGTCCCTGCAAGAATCGATACACTTCCATCGGTTTAAATGCAGAAAAGACAATGTTGCCAAATTGCAGGATCCGCCGATGGTCCCCTGGAATCAAACTTGGGGGATTTTTTCGGACCATTGGCGGATCCAGCAATTTGGCAACACCGGATGTTCTGAATTTAAACCTATGCTAAATAATCGATTCTTATCGGAGCATCTGGCCCCTCCAAGAATCGATACATTTCCATCGGTTTAGATGCAGAAAAGACAATGTTGCCAAATTGTAGGATCCGCCGATGGTCCCCTGGAATCAAACTTGGGAGATTTTTTCGGACCATTGGCGGATCCAGCAATTTGGCAACACCGGATGTTCTGGATTTAAACCTATGCTAAATAATCGATTCTTTTCGGGGCATCTGGTCCCTCCAAGAATCGATACACTTCCATCGGTTTACATGCAGAAAAGGCAATGTTGCCAAATTGCAGGATCCGCCGATGGTCCCCTGGAATCAAACTTAGGGGATTTTTTCGGACCATTGGCGGATCCAGCAATTTGGCAACACCGTATTTTCTGAATTGAAACCTATGCTAAATAATCGATTCTTTTCGGGGCATCTGGTCCCTCCAAGAATCGATACTTTTCCATCGGTTTAAATGCAGAAAAGACAATGTTGCCGATTTTCTGGATCCGCGGATGGTCCCCTGGAATCAAACTTGGGGGATTTTTTCGGACTTCGAGTGGGGGGCAGGACCCCAGGACCCCGAGCCGCGTTGGGAGCCGGGCGGCGAATTAGTCACAGACTTACATCATTCCGAAAACGACGGACGTGAACGTGTCTCCGCTCGGAGAACGGCAACGGCTTCGACGTCAAACAAACACCATTGTTTACTAAACTCTCGATAGGTCGCCTCGCCAGAGTTGGACGCTCATTAGCTCTTCGGGCGCCTGCGAAACCAAGAGCCGAGACAGTCCTCGAGTTTCAGACGCAGCGAGTGCGGTGAGCTCCTTTCGGTGCTTTGCGGTGATGTGATTGGTTATCGTGTGATTTTGGATAAAACTCGCCGAGATGCAGCTCCCGTCAGGATTCAAGGACACGTGAGTATTACCCCGAGAACCCTCCGATTTTCCTTCGAGTCCTTGCAGTGAAATTGCAAAAACGCGTATCTTGATTTGCGGCGTTGCAGATTTTCTGTCATACTTTCACTGAAAAAAATGGTAAGCTGTTTTAGCACCTAGGATGTCAAAAATGTGTCTAATGATCCTAATATGCTACCTTGATTGCCCATGCAGTTGAATTTGCATTCACAGGATGTGAAGTTAACTGCGAGGGAAGTAAAGGCTGCATTTTGGGATCACCAGGCACATTTTTGACATAATACGTGCTAAAACAGCATAATATTTTTTTCAGTGTTGTTTTCTAAATGGACCGAGTTTATCAGAAAGGAACCAACGCACATTTTCGAAAAAATTGAATTAAGACTGTTTTTTAGTCTCACTAGTCGTAAATTTTCTCCTGCCAAAAACTGAAAGTCTGAAAATAGATATTGTCTTGTGAGAAGAGGGGTTAAAGTTTATTTTTTACATTGAGCCGTGTGGAGGAACAAAACTTCAAACCTCTTTATCTCAGTTTCAACTCAATGAGGTTGGTTCCTTTTTGATGAACTCGGTTCAAATAGGAAACCACCATAGGTCATTTGAGAGGCTAGGACAAGGCGCATAAGTGCAGTTTTTTAAAAAATTGAGATATAAATGACTTGATGTAAAACTAGTCTTAATGCATAATCTGAGAAAAATTTGCAACCAAATTCCAACATTTAAGCATCAAAAACCTAGTTTGAACTTTCTTTCCGGCGTAAGGATCCTTGTAATTTCGAAACTTCAAACACGTATTTCTCGAAATAGCAAAAACTGCACTTATGCGCCTTGTCCTTCAATTCCCTCATTTCTCGAAAATGTTTCTGAATTTTTCTCTTAGTGTTAAGGATAATATGTGAAAATTTCAAGCCATGGTGCTGGATCGGTTTCCTTTGGAAAAATGGACTCGAACCGGAGATTATTGAACATTGCAATCGATATACGTGTTCTTTTAGTTTCACGATCAACATGCGTAGCTGAAGCAATGAATCACCAGAGGAGATATCGATGGCCAAAGTTCAAAACCACGTATCTTCATTTGCGACGTTGCAGACTTCCTGTTATACTTTATTTTTTCTTAGGAGAACTAGTCATCGTACTTTCTTGAGAAAATCCTTTATTTTTTTTCTAGGTTAGCAAAATAATCTGTAAAAATTCCAAAATATAAAGTTTGCTTAGTCCTCTTCGATAAAATAAAGGTAGGAGCGGAAATTTTGAAACACCGTAGTGGAGATATGCGGTTTCGCACTTCGGCTATCGATATTAACATAACGTTTCGGCGGTAAATCTGTAGGAACGCATTTCTCGTTCGTGGTATTTCAAAATCTTGCTTTCATTTTATTTCATGAAAGGACAGATGGCACCGACATCATGCCTAGACATTTTCATAGATTATTCATCACACATGGAAGGAAAATCAGATAGGTTTGAGTATTTTTCCATTTAAAAAATTAATCATAACGCAAAGTCAAAAGCGTCACGAATCGAGATATGCGCTTTTCGCAGTTTTATCGTAGGTATGCCTGGCAATAGCGCAAACAGCAAGGGTGCAGCAACCAACTTGGTCATTGGTGGCGTCCCGATCGTGTGAAATGGGAAAAGCTCAGTATGAGAGCGGTGGAAAATAGGGAAAGTTCATGTTATGCGGGAAGGATATAGAGGAAAATTTTGAAGCTCATTAAAGAAAAACCTGTTTTTTTTATCTTTTCTTTAAATAAGAACTAATCATGAAATTTTGGGAAAGACATTAAGGGCCTGGAATTTTCTGCACTCTTGGAAAGAGCTATTAGACAAGGCATGAACTAGAGAACCTTCCACTTCAAAACCATTAATATTTGCTTCAAAATTTTACGTAAAAATGATTCGCGCATGATTCGTGTCTTACTCCCTGATAAATCTACTCCTACAAGTGAGGTATGAACATTTTTATATAATGCTGATCTAATTGAGCCAAAATCATGCAAATGACGACAGTTGAATTTTCGACATTAAGCCATAATGGTAATTGTAAATAGTCTGTTATCTTCTCGTCACGTAAATAATTTTTTACGTATAGTGTTGAAGAGAAAATACTTGAGAAAGCGTTCAAGACCATACCCTCTCTAGTGTGACCTGTTTTAATACTATGGTATATTCGCTTCCACAGATGAAAATCTGCATAACAGGAAATACTCTTGGAACCGGGGCATTTCCTACCATCATTCCATTGTGCCGCTGGGAAAAATGAAGTCTTTGACGTTTTTCAAAGATTATAAGTAGAGCTAAATTTTCGATTTGCATAAGCGGTTAACTTTTGAGAGAGAATAGCCTCAAACGTATCCGAAAGAGCCAGTTTTTTTAAAAAAAAATTTCGGGGCGAGACCTCTGGAATCACGCCTCTCTTAGAAAAAAGGGTCCAGACTACTTAAAAAGGTTGATCGTCTCAAGTTGGGGGCCGGCCTACGTAAAATTTTAAATAGTACTATCCAGCCTCTACTGGATAATCCGCAAATTGCAAATAGCCTCGGAGCCGGTACATCTTCTCAATTCAGTGCATAATGCGATAATAGAAAGGAAAAATTGTGAAATATCATTTAATGCCTTGAGGTTGCATAGTGCCAATATTTTACGTGAGACTAGTCTCAGAATGAATCCAAGAGAGGTCAATTTTCCAAAAGAGATTGATCGAACCTCCCTTCCTTTTGAGGAGGTCATAGTTTCCTGCCGTGAAAAAGGAGGCCATACCAGCCCAGGGAAACTGCTCTATCAACGCCTATGTTCTCTTAAAAAACGACGAGGATAATTTTTAAAAAAAATTGTATATTACCATTATTTACATTTTTTGGAAACTAAAACTTCAAATTTTAATTGGAAATTTAAGCTGGATGGTGAAAACAGTTGATAAAATACGTAGACTGAGAACAGGAGTATTTTAATTTTTCTTAGAATCGCAAATTAACGTAAAATTGACCTCTAAGACCCGTAAGATGCGTCCAAACCTATAGCCTTAAAAAAGTTTCCGTTAGTGAAGTTGTATTCTATCGTAGAGACTCGTGCATTGGAGGGCAACTCACGACTTTGCAACTCCGACGGTTTCATGACCTTCAGAATGAAAAGAACTATTGTGTTCAGTTCTTAGTATCACTTTAGCTCCTCAGGTTGAAATTTACACAAGTTCCCACCGTACACTCATTCATTACACCGGATCCTACTTTACCTTTGATGCTTTCGGGGCGGCATAGAGCACATATTTTAAATTTCACAATGCTCAACTCTAATTTTTTAAAAAAAAAACTTAGAAAAATCGTTTGAAAATTTTTTCAACCGCACTAAGAAAAAATCTCGAATGAAAATTCAGACGCTGCCAATTTTTCTATATACTCGTAAAACACGAATTCTTTGGGGAAAATATGCATGGGTAAAAATTCCTTTTATAGTAAAATTTTATTTTAAACTGGCAGGCTTACGTGAGACTGGGTTCGCCTCACCCCCCGCCCCCCTCTTAAAACTTCATAAGACAAACTCAGCCCCGCTTGAGTACTTACGTTTTACTTGAACGGCCTTGAAGAAGGAAGTAAAATAGGAAAAAAGGAAGAAAGAGATGAGGAAAAAGAAATCAATTTCTTCTTTTTCCTCTCTTACTTTTTCGTTATTCTTCTCCTCATCTTGTCTCTGCGATTTTTTAGCCTTTCTTCTTTGTCTTTTTCTGTTGCCTCCAATTTCTTGTGCGTTTTCGGATGACCGATGAAAAGGGTCTCAAGATGGGAACTTGTCTAGCTAAAGTTAAAAACTGCAATTATCTACTCTGCGACATACTACTGTGCTAAGGAAGAACGTCGTATGAAACTTCAGACGTTGCCAAGTTTCCTTTGATAAAGTACGAGTTTATTGGGAAATTGTTAAATATTTTCCTCCCAATTTTTCAGACAATTTTATTTGTCATTCTTCAAAAATGCGCGTTTTCCACAGGAAACGTTGGCAACTATTGAATGTCCATACGACGTTCTTCCTTATCACGGCATTATACCCAACCGATCCATTCAATCATTTAATTATCACCTCATTCGCGCCAAAACTTTTGAGCCGGCGGATTCGAAACTTCCACAAGTTGGAGGGCGATTACGCATATTCAGAACTGACCAATTCAACATAGAGTTCATTGTGCCTCCAACAACTGCAATTTGACCCGCGAGGAAATAACCTTTTTTCCTGTTAGATGAATTGTGACATCAGAAAGTTGCGCGAGCGTTATTCTTGTCAGTCATAACATCGTAGGTACTTAAGTATCAACATTTGCGGTCCGGGCCAATTAGGGGGTCACTGTCCCTTCTTTCGGTAGCAGGAAAACAAAGGGAAATATTTCCCAAGTGAATGCACCGTCTTCATCGATTATTCGTGAACGAAAAATGTTACAAAATCCGACCAGTGCCGAAATGCACTCCTAGCACCTCAATTATAAATTGAAATTTGTGTGCAATTGCTACATGCCGAAAATACGCTCCCTGGTCTTGACCCTGATCAGCGTCGCCGGCTTATGTAACGAAATTTGCATTCTTCATACATGCGCGGACGAAAGAAAAGAGCAAGTGGTCTTTCTCAGAGAGGTGGGTCAAACGCCATAGATTTTAGGTGGATATCAGCACTGGCCGAGTAAGTGACCGATCTTGCGCTTTTTCGACTGGACATACATATATAAGTCGCTTTACAGCACTCCCTCGCGCTCTACGACTCCTAACCTCCACTGCTCTCTTTCAAACCACAAATCTTGGGGGATTGAGCACCTCGACTGGTTCGACTGGAACCTACGCAAAATCAAGGCGATGACATTCTAGGACCTAACTCAAGAGTCCTTTCCTCCCCGTGTAGTTGGAATAATCATGAAATACATACATGTAAAATTACACGTTTTAAATTCAGTGAAATTTTATTCATCTTTCAAAGCTCCGTGAAATGTTCCGTACTGTTTAGCCTATATAGACTTT